TCTGGTTGGTACCTGCCCTTGTCCCGGCCGGCGCCCTGGCAGGTGCCCGGCCGCACGCACCCCTGTTGCCACAGGAGAGGGTCGCGCACCCCTCTTAGAAACTTCTCACACGCTGGCAAAACACTAAGTATGTGCGTGTCAATGGGCAACACGCGCTATGTAATTAAAATCCTTACATGTACTCTTAAAAGGGATTTAATGAGCTGTCAGGTTTCATCAGTTTGGAAGATTGCTTGCAAGGACCCAAGCAGGCTTTTCTGAAGAAAAAAAGAAGTGAACTGAGTTGGGATTTGACTGTGCACAAAATATTGTCCATTCTCGTGATCTGTATAAGCATTGGATTTTTTTAAAATTAGATATTTAAGTCTAGAGGTGTGAAAGTACAAGGCACAACAAGGTGTGGAAGTCACACACAGTTTTTAATTGAAAAAAAAAAAAAAAGCCCCCAGGCTTCTGTTCATTCTTTTCTAATTTATTTTCCTAATAAAAGAGGGAAATACCTAAGCCTTATGTGCCAACGGAGGAGGAAAGAAGGCTCCTCAAGGAATGTGCTGAAGAGAGTAGCCGATACAGAGGTAAGTTCTGTTTGCTGGTAAACTTGGTTTGCTTTTCTTCCACCTTTAGTTTGTGGTTATCACCTGAGGCATTACAGAAGGAAAGCTTGGGTCAGTGTATCACAACAGTTAATTACAGGCTTCACATGGCCTAAAATTGCATCCCAGTAAGTGCTGACCCGTGTAGAATTTACGTTTGTTAAGCATTTGCAGGACAGGAACTTTGTAAAAGATGCAACGTAATTTGTAGGGTTTATGTTTTTTTAATGAGATTCCTTCATATTTAAAAAATATGCGCTGTAAAGTCAGAAAATAGATATAATTCATGGAGTCTCCAATGTACGTTTCTGAATATTCTTTTTTTTCATTTCTACAATTTTATTTTCATTTTTTGTTATCTTTAAAAAGCAAGAATAAAATAGTTTACAGCTGGTATACAGGGATAACAAACTTGCGTTGTTTTCACAGGATACTTTATGTCTCAGTTTATTTGAAATATCAGTGTTATGTTAAGGGGTTTTTCCCTCATAAACCATTGGGGATTGATTGCATTACTTCTTGACGTGACGTAATCCGAGGGTTCAAGGCATGCCAGTTGTTCATACACCTGAGGTTGGAACAAGCTTCCCGATGGGATTGCCACCCACTATTTTATCCCACACTGGCAGGTTACTCCTGATGCTGATAGGTGGCTCAGCCGAAACCAGGACAGATGAAGAATTTAGCAGCTGATTTGCTAAATTTAGCACACTGGGCCTCTGCTTTCTCCTAGAAGCCAGGACTTCCAGAGGCAACTTCTAAGGCATGGCAATTTTGGATTAAAAATACAAAGTTTTGCTTTGTCTTTCTCCGTTGCCTTGGCATTTTTCTCTTCCGCTTTTATTCAGATACTTGGAAACCTTCAGCTTGTTTGCCAGAAATCTAGCTGTTTTCCTTAAGTTGTACAAGTGAAAAGAGCCAAGTTCATGAGCAGTAAGATGATGGTTCGTTATGGCTTATTGATAATAAGTCTCTCTTGTATGAAGAAGGGCTGAGAGACCTGGGGCTGTGTAGCCTGGAGAAGAGAAGGCTGAGAGGGGATGTTACCAATGCTTATAAATATCTAAAGGCCAAAGGTCAAGAGGATGGGGCCAGACCCTTTTAAGTGGTGCCCAGCAATGAGATGAGGGGCAACACGCACAAACTGGAACACAGGAATTTCCACCTCAACATCAGGAAAAAAATCTTTACTGTGAGGGTGACGAAGCACTGGAACAGGCTGCCCAGAGAGGCTGTGGAGTCTCCTCTGGAGACTTTCAAAACCCATCTGGCTGTGCTCCTGTGCAGCCTACTCGAGGTGAACCTGCTTTGGCAGGAGAGTTGGACTAGATGTTCCCCAGAGGTCCCTTTCAACCCCTATCATTAAGTGATTCTATTTCTCTCCTGGGAGAGAAGAGGGGAAGAAGTTGTTTGTCTTCCTGAGGTGTTCTTGTTTGGCAATGTAAGTTAGTGCCCTGAGCATCTTTATACAGAGAGTTAAACAACACGACCAAATTAGTTTCTTGAGGAATTTCACTTTAGGGAACTACAACAGTAATTGAGAGATGATTATTTTCAGGGTTTGTGTCCTGTGCTCTTACCTCACTGGGAGACCCTAAAGCCCGTCACTGCATTTTTGGTCTCCTGTCTTTTTCATTGTTTTGTTTTACATGTACCTAAATTGTTCTGTTCCCTGTATTAAATACATATTATTTGCCCCTTTGCAAGAGGCGTGGGCTGGCTGTGTGACTGCCCTGATAGCCTCACTTCTTAATGTATCAGTTCTTGTTATTCACATCTATCACTATAAATTAGTGTATTTTCACTTTGTTTATTCAAATTTCAAGCTGTAGCCAAATTTTACCCATTCTTACAAACCTCTGTTTTGCTGTAGTTTCTCTTGACAGCTACTATTTCAGAAATGCTTGCTCCATAATTCAACTTAATATGTGCTTTATTAGTAGTATTACTTTTTAATCACATCGTATAAAACATAATACTGTTAAAAATTCACACTGTGATCTACAGTTTTTTTGTTTTCACTTTTAATCTCACTAACAAACCAGATCAATGTGTCTTTTTCCCCGTAAAACCATTTTGAGTAAGGTACATTATATTCCCATCCTTAATGATATGGTGTTGATATCAGCCTTCCATTAGTTTTCCTAGCATTTGTTTTGTTCCTGAAGCAGAAAATGTACTTTGTGCCCATAGCAGTGAAAAGCATTAATATCTTCTGATTTATTAAACTGCTTTTTGTTTTTTTCTTGAGCAATTATTCATGTTAACTTTTTGTGTATGAACCCAATTTTCATTTACCTATTATTCTTTTAATTTCTAGTTACCATTTCAGGTCATTTACGTGCTCACCTACTAGCAGCTGTTTCCACTCAAGCGTGTAACCTGTCTGATGTCTGGAATATTTGTGTTTGGCTTATAAATCATTTCAAACCTCTAAGGGCTAGACTGAAATTCTCTGTAATCTTCATGATTATTTTTAACAGCCCCTCTTTGCGTTTTGTTTTGTTTTTCTCTCTTAAAATCTACCTTCTGTCTCCACTGCCACTCTGTATGTCAAAAAATTTAGAGCTCTACATTCTGGAAAAACTAGGTCTAGGCTCTCTAAAAGCATCAGGGGTTTAATCTTTAATACATTGGAGGATTTTATTCTCGAAAATAGAGTGTTTCTGTAATCTTGCTTTGCTCCAGGGAGCCAGTGCTTTTTCTTAAAAGTGAAATCCAGTCATATTTACCCTAATGGCCTAGTTTAGACTTGTCAGAGTTTGTGAAGAAATAAACTGTGAGTATGCAAAGTATACTTTAATATTGTGCTGTCCAAATTCTAAAAAATATCATCTATCTTCAAATCTGAAATTAATTAGCAGATCATGTGCATCAAAATGTTATAAGCATCTAGTTGTCTTAAAAAGAAATTCTTTCTTGGGTAAAGTTAAAGTCATTGAGCCTTTTTGTTAACGTCTGCATTTTCAGACTTGACAACTACATTTTCAGAGTTGCATAAAAGCATGATGTATTTAAATCTTGAATTAACTTCAGTCTTCTGTCATTTATTTCCGTGTCACTGTATCTTGTGTGAGGGTGATGGTCGTTACAGTTTCAGAGTTGATCTTCCCAGTGTCATCATTATCATTGCTTGAAATAAGCATTCCTCTTGTTTCTTGCCATCTTCAAATCCCTCTTCCCACCTGAAGTCGTTCAACGTGATGAAATCTGATATGAATTGTTAAGCACATGGCGAGAGGCAGTGATGCTCTTCCACGTTCCATGTCTTCTCTGCGTTCTGACCCTGTCCCTGAATTACAGTTTGGTCTGTAAACGACACAAAAAGTTGCCCTGTTCTTTAATTTGCTTCTGAATAAAACATGTTGCCTAATTTTAATTGATTCGATTTATACCTCTTTAAGAGTTAAGATTTTTTCCAGATTTCTTCTGCTAAAACAAAATCAAGACTTTTGCTTGTGAAAAATTTTTAGAGGTGCTGGCTTCTATGTAGCTGCCTTCCATCCTGGAGAGCTGCGTGTGTTCTTCTGGTGTGACCTTCTGCACCTTGGTGCTGTAGCAGCTGTAGTGAGACCTGGCGCCTCACCGCTGGAGCTGTGCCCCCTCTGCCATTGGCTTTTGTATTTTAGGAGGGGTGAGCCCTAATGAAGGCAGGATGACTCATTAACCTGTATCGCGTAATTTGTAGGTCTTGAAAATTGGCATTGAGAATGTTTCATAGTTTATATACAGTTTGTTAATGATATGTGTGCTTATATTCTTACACAAATAAGCTTAGTAAGGCCTAACAACTCTCACTGCGTATTTTGTTAAGTGTGGTTGAAAATATTGAAAATCGTATTGTAAGCAACTTTTCTTCTTCTTCTTCACAGCTTTTCCTTTGGCTGCAGTGAGCATGCTTGGTACTAGTTTCTTAATTAGGAAAGGTAAAGTGGAAACATACTTTGGGTTAATTTGGATTTGCTCAGATGAAATATTTTTTGCTGTTAAAAAAGTTACTATAGTAATATCATGTCTGATCTACTTGTGATTTAAAAAAAGTTCAGACTCTTCAGCTTCATGACTTGCAGTTCCATGAAGTAAAGAAGGAGCAAAACTTTCAATTAAGATCAAAATCATGTTCATTTTATGTTGACAAATGCAATATCTCAGTGATTATGAAACAATATATTCTATAGTGTATAATAATACTTTGTAATAGGATTAAAGAGGTAATTCTTAGAATATTTATCATTTTATGGGAAATTCAGGTATTAGGTTTCCCTGCATTTCCTTCAACATTAAGTGTAAAAGAGTAACCTACCTACAAACATAGCCACAGTTGATGTTTTCAGAATAATTCTTATTAACTTCTCACTAATTACTTTGATCCTTATTTTCAGGTGTTCTAAGAGACAGCTCAAGATTTGGCTCTTTTATGAAAGTTGCATGTAAGTAAAATATGTAAATCCAGCTTGAATTCATGCCTCAGGTTCTGGAGTCTGTTACACAGGGCTAATTCCTAATCAGTCTGGCTGCCTGATTGTGACTCCACTCTGCTTACAGCGGTAAGATGTGCCTGAGCATAGGAGTAAGTGGTCTGATACATCCAATGAGTTAAGTTTCACTTTCCTGCAGTTAATTCTGTCAGTCAGGAACTTTTTAGTGACGTTTCTTAGCTACAGCATCTCATACTGCAAGACCCTATTCAGTGTCCAGGGGCAGAGCATCTCATCTATCCACTGTCTTTGAATTTGTGCAGCGTGTTGTCCCGGTTAGAAGGCAGAACTGTGTCCCAGCTCCCTTATCCCTCAGTTTCCCAGATAGTGAGGTAAATAAGGAAGGCAGGGGTAATGAAAACCTTGCACCAAATTGAAAATTAACAAAATGAAATATATTATTTAACAGGGATCAGAAAGGAAGAAGGGAAGGGGTTTAACAGGGTACAGAAAGGAAGAAGGGTAGGGGTTTAACAGGGAAGGGGGGTTGTAGGAACAACAAGGCAAGGAAGATTAAACTTCCAAATATACAAAACCCAAATGCTATGCTGAGGCTCCCCGGTGCTGGATCTCGCTGGATTGAGGTGGATTGAAGCTGGATGCACAATCCTTGGACGTGGATGGAGGCAGGGAAGAGTCTGTAGATCAGGCCCAGGTCTCCAAGATGGCCACGACCACGTGTAGCACAGGGAGCAGCAGAGCAGCGTGTGCCCAGGTAGAAGGTCAAAGGAGCAAGAGCAAGAGAGAGAGGCGTGCCTTCCTCACCCCTTTTATAGACCTTGGCAGGAAGTCCCAAAGACAGGAAAAAGGGGAGTGGGAATAGGACAGGTGTACGCCCCTTTCATTCAGGCTTGTACCTGGTTTAGGGTTTCAGATCTCCACTCACCAGGGGCAGCAGGTTTCAAACCATTACACGTGTTTTGCACAAGTTTTGTTTACAGGCTTTCCATTAAATTGTTTGACAAGTGTCATGACAATTTAAGATAAAAACATTGTAAGTAGATGCTGTATAAGCTTACTTTAAATTAATTGCCCACCCCTCCCTTCCTAATTTCAAGGTCTTTATTCATACATCTTATTTGTCCCATTCAGGCTATTTTAATGCCCTTTTTTTTTTTTTCCTGGACATTATGTATGTACAATTGCAGGAAAACAGCAATTTCATGTGAATGATTTTTGGATTAAGTATAATCAAAAAGAAATTAATAAATTAACCTTTTCAATGTAATACATGACAGTAAAACAGGAAGTTGCCATCTTGCCAATCTGCCCAGATACAGGCAGTTACTCTTAGAGTTTACTTCAGTGGGAAGAAGGTAAAACGCATGATTTGTGGTGAAGGAAGTGTTGTTTAAGCAGATAAATGAATGTGAGAGACTAGGGCTGTCATTTGTTTATTCTAAATTCTGCTTGCTTTCTTTTAATGCCAAACAATGGTATAACACAAACCTTTCTAATAAATAAATAATATAATTGCTATTTCCCTGATAGCTCCTACAGATTTCTAGCTAAGGGTTACATTCCTCCTATTTTATAGAACTAGGTTTTGAAATCAAGGGAAAAAATAAGGAGCAGCTGGACTGACCCGCGTATTCTTGATGTTAAGATTACAAGCCAAAATACTTATGGCTTCTCCTTTTTTATGTACACTGGAGGCAGATGGACTTCCATTTTATTAGAAGAATTTTCCGTGAAGCGTGTGTCTTGGTGGTTTTTCAGTAAGCAATTTCATGTGATTTTAAATGCGGGGACTTTTCTAGGACATAGTTGGAGTCTAAAAGGCCTGAGATAAGCAGTTTTCATTTCATCCTCATCTTACTCAGGTCAGATGCGTCTACAGGATCTTCCTGAAAACTATTGCTAGGGACATAGTTTACAAGTCCGAATTCTTTCTCATCATTTAACTGCACGTGCCTCCTGCAGGGAAATCTCATTACAGGAAGCAGTGCGGTTACGTTCCGCTTGGCTTTTTTTTCCTTCACAATTTCTGAAAGAAGAGCACATCCAATTGCAGACACTGCTGCTGGCTCATAGCTAGCTGATGTTGAACAACAGTAACACAATGCAAAACAGTTCCTGCTTTTCTGGTGTCACTGGTCTGAGCATACCGCTACTGCTTCTGTTGGTTACAACAGTCTATCTGGTAATGGTGTGTGTCACTTGTGGTTGTTAGATTCTTACTCTGAAAAATATCCATGCCTAATTACAGTAATTGGTCTTCTATATCTAACTTAGCTAAACTCTGACATTTCTCATTTGTAAACTTCACTCGTAGTTGTGGCTGTTCTTCTCTTTTCCCTTAGAGAAGGATTTTTAACCTCCTTTTGAAAATACAGACATGACAATAGGAATCAGTTTCAGTACCAGTACAGCAGGGTAGAGTAAAATCCCCTTTTAAATTGATTCCCAGGAGATGTAAGCTACAGCCTGGGGACCTCAGGGGATTAATATTACTAGTAATTAACTCTTTCCTAACTTAAAGATGATTGAGAGTCTTCAGTCTTGCATTAAATCAAACACGTTTGCCTAGTGACTGTGAGGGGCTGGCTGATTCAGTTGTTTGTCCTCTGGCAACCATATCATGGAATACTCTTCAGAAGATAGTGAGCCTATTGCTGAGTTTATTTATATTTCTTTTAAGGCTAGAGAAAGTCTTTCCAAGTTCTAACTATTCTGATGGATTAAATTACCAGAATTTACTACTTTTGTTTTTTCATGCCTGTTTTATCATCATTGATAGTAAATTGCTTTTTCTGGATTTTGGGAAAAATCGATCAATTATTTTCCTTTTTTTGTCACCTTTCATTCATCAAGTACTAGCAGAAATCACCTGATACACATGCCATGTCTAAGTTCTTGCTCTGTGTCTCTGTTCAGCTGTTGCATTTGGGTTTAGTAACTTTTGTCTGCAAAAGAAGCAGAGAGAGATAATTACTGCATGTTTTTGGCTTAGATCTAAACTGTGGGTTTTTCCTTTCTTTCTTCAAGATATTGTATAATTTATTTGAAATTATTATTTTAAAACTGTGTTGAATATTATGATACAGCATATAAACCCGTCTTTTCTTCTTTTAAAAAAGTTGCTGGAATGTGCGGATACATGGCCGGAAAGATATCCTACTTGCCAGTCTGCAGTGAGAAATTTAAGAAACTGAAGGATTCCCCGATAGGAGATGTTCTACGACAAGCTCAGAGACATAGTACACATAAGTAAGAATGTCATTCTCTCTTAAATTTAAAACTTACTTTTGGATAGGACATTTCAAACACTGATAGATGAAGGCTATGTTTGCAGCTTTCAAAGACCTTCAGAGCTTTCAAAGACCTTTCAAAAACCAAAGAACCTTCCCTCTTTCCCCTGCTACTCCAAATCTGCCACCTTCAGGGTGCTGTGTATCTGTTAGTCAGCCAGCTATAAAACATGCATTTTGAGCTCTTTACCTATAACTGATCACCTTGAGCAGAAAAAGAAACATTTTACTTAGCAAAATACATTCCTTGTAAATTGGGGTATTGTTTTCCCATGGTATTTACTTGCTTGCAGTAGTGTGATAGCAGAAGTTGCCTCCTTGGTTTCGAAATAAACTAAGTTAACTGAAATAAAAGTGTTACGTTCTGGAATTTTTTTTCCCATAGTTCAGTTTGATTGAAGTAGGAAAAGGGTGGAAATGATTTCAGTGTTTATCAAAGGAAAGAGCTCAGTAAACAATATCAGTGCAGGAAGACGCCTGGTGGTCAAACTTACTGCTGTTTGTTTAAATCCTTTACATCTGTAACAGCATTATGCTGTACATATGAGAAACTCATCAGGTTCTTAAAACTATTTCCTGTTTTGTTCCAGAATGTTTTCTACTTCAGGTCAGTTTTAATTGCAAACTACTTTAAGAATCTCTCACTTACACCCTTGATTGAAAACTGGGAGAATACCATTTGCTTAGTGAGTGGTAGTTCTGCTGTGTATCTGCTGAGACTTGTTTCCTTACATGTGAAGGATATTAAATTCTTAATTAGTTTATAAATTCAAATTTATGAGAGTTTTTTTTTTTTTCA